AAGCACTCAATTTGATCGGTGACTGAATTCGAATGGATGAATGAAGTCATCTAGCAAAAGTGTTTTGCTGATGGGATGGACAAATAGATTTCGTGTAACATCACATATGCATGGTCAGCTCTGACCCATCACTACCTAATGCATCTCTTAAGTATTTCTCCCGTCCAACTTTTTTAGATTCCGACCCAATTTCCTTGCCTTTCTTAGTTGGTTCATTTACCCCTACCTGATTACCTAACCATCAAGACATTAGTCCAGCCAGCCATTCAACGTTATCCAACGGCCCATCATTTGGTTCTTCTAACCCATTCTGCCCCCACCATCAAAATTGCGGTCATTTGAGAAGTTACCAAGTAAGTACTGCATCACTTTTGTCTGCATTAATGCTTGATTCGATCGGATCTGTTGTCCTCCGTCATCTAACACCTACTCACGAGATGAGTGGCATGAATGCAAGTTGACAGCAGATGGGAGAAGAAGAAATCGCCTCGCCTTCTGACTACTGACTGAATCTACCTAATGATAATAGCCTACTTTCCATTTCAAATTTGCGATCTCTCTCACAACCAATGTTACTCCTATTTGATAAACTTTTACCATCTTCCAACTTAATGCATTCCACGTCTTCAAGATGTGGTAAAGTGGGCGAGTGACGAGTTCAACTAAGTACTATTCCTAAATCCACACCAATGCGTTATAAGTAAGATACACAATTAAATGATAGTAATTTTCAGGGCTTCTGCTCTCACTTGTCTATGTTAGGCTCTAAGGAAGTCAGAATACCTGCTTTTTGTTATGGCGTTCTAACTTGGGTGCGGTAATTGGTTCACAACCGGCGACCAATCAAACACGTTCAGGATCATTACATAACCTTGGTAATTTCCATCACCGCAACTCAAAAAGTCACCCGTCTCCACTCATGTTCTGCCGCGGTGGAAAGGCATCTCTATGCGTTGTCATTCTAAACAGTCGATTCCACGCTTCACTCCATGCCTCAGCAACCGCCATGAGGAATTTTGATTGCCTCCCTTGCCGCCTTGGTGAAAAATACTTGAAGTAACCATTCACACAGCAAGTGGCATTAACCAATTCCTCCATTCGGTCACCACATAAAACATCACTTTCCTCATTCGCAAGCACT